AAATATACCATTGCGCATAATGGAACTGGATGGCGTAGGAGGTGTTGAATGAGGAATGTAGACGCCGATATTTCTCATAGTCAGAGTAAATTTCCAGTTCGGACAGAAAGCGTTTATAGTTGTATCCACGACTCTGTTTAATGAAGTCCAAATCATTTTTGAAGATCACAACTTTTAAATTCGTGCCCGAAGTTCTTGGAAATTTGTGATTGGTACCGTAAGAGGATGTGTCAAAGGATTGCATAATTTACTGAAGATTCCACGGTGACAAGTAGACCTCGTACATCGATAATATGAAACGTAGAAAAAAATGTAGATTCATCGAACGGTATATAAATTCCTTATAGCTATGCGGCTTCTCGATCGGCACCATAATACACCAGGGTCTGACTTCATACGAGTGAGACATTATCCTTGAACTATTAGCGTGGAGTGCTGGAACCAATGCTGCTGGTATATCGAAGCGATCAGCTTTGGCCAAATCGAATATGTTTTGATAGAATACCGGTTTATCCTCCTGCAGGAACAGAGGCCATGACAGGGAGCCGTTGATTTGCTGGGCAAATGCTTCGAGAAAACTCACCACATAACCCTTCATTACAACCTGCCCATATTGATCGCGATGTAAAGCTGATCGAGGTATCATTTGATCGGGATATGTTCGAATTTTATGACCATACAAATTTGCCATTTTATTGGGAAAGAATTCAACATTGTTGCCAACATCATGACCAAAGCTTTTCGTAACCACTTCGAATTCAGGAAACATTTCGAATGCGTAGAATACTGGATCTTCATAGAAATTTCCCAGCAAAACGATGACATTAATTATTTTCTGTTTGGAGCATGCCCTAAGCATGTGCCACACAACGATGCTGGCAAAAGCCTGAGACATATGTTCCGCCAATAGAATAATGCGATTTTGTAGCTTATATTGTAAAACCCGCGATAAAAAGCTAACATATTTGTCCTCATCCCCATATTGCCAATAGATGAAAATCAAAAAGTTTTTATTCAATTTAAGGCAGGCATTACAAAATTGATGTACGAAGGTTTGAATTAGCACCGATTTTCCCATATTTTTCTGTAAGACTTCAGGAACCAATACATCCTTAATGGTAAATTCACGTCCAATGAGAATACAGTTATCAAATCGATTCTCTCGATCCACTTTGTAGAATAGTTGTTTTAATTGAAATCTTATTTCATGCTTATGCACGTCCTCGGTTTGTAATTTTCTAATTATTACATTATTGGGTTTGATGGATTGAATAAATAGCAGAAAGATTAGAATTTTGAAAAATATCATGTTTCGAAAATGCTGCCTAAATAAAGGTTGTCGATAAACTGTAAGGAAAATTTAAAGTGAAATTTTATTTATGTGTAGCCAAATAATTTCTTTCTGATACGCTATGGCTGCTTAATGGAAATCATTATGGCATTAATGATATCAAATGCATTTCCTTTTAGCATTCAATTAATAGCATTATGTTTTTCCTTGTTCATTGATTTTACTTGTTTTTTCAAATAAATATTTCAGATTACATTTGTTGTACCCTACACATATATGTTCACTATGCGTATAATTCTAGACCGAATTAGGTGAATCTATCTAATTATATCCGTTTGTCAAAGTAGAGGCCATAAGCTATTACCATGAGTAGGTAAAAATTTAGGGCATCTAATGGACCAAACACTTTAAAGAAATAGAGTCAATAGAAATATCCGGACAGATCATTTTTTGAATGACCACGTTATGGAAAAAGGGTACAAAAAGTTTGACCCGATTGGACTTCAGAAATTTTAATTTGTTTTCTTTTTTTTCAGTTATAATTTAAACTCTGTGGCATTTTATATGAGCAAGGGTATCTAGCCAATGAGTACGCCATAAAAAGGGCCACATGAACCAAGATGTCTGTGTGAAAAAATGACCAACTAATAAATATAAATAATCGGAAAAGTTATGTATGAAATTGCAGTTGTTGTCCTTTAAATACGATGTTGTCGGGGTCTAGTTTAAAACATTAATATAAATATTTAATCCCAGTTAGTTGTTTTTATAAAAAAAACAACTATTTATTTGTGGGGAATGTATGACATTGTCCGCTGAGGCGTAAGGGAGGGAATACTTCGGATCTCGCCACTGATCCTCATCATTTCCCTTATTTTTTGTGATTTTTTCCCCAGAAGCTATTTATTGCTTCGTTTAAAAACAACTTTTCATACCTAAATATCTCATGTAACAAATCGAAGTACTTACGTTACCAGCGATACCACCTCAATGAAAGGGTCGTTGGTGCGTGACTTCGTGGCTACAAATCAATTGCAGACAACTACAATACATTTGCAACTGCTATGTGTCGTCACTTTGTGACGAAAGCACATAACGTTGTAGTTGGTATTGCTATTTATTATACCTTCCACCATAGTTTCGAAATATTCATTTCCGACCCTATAAAGTATATATATTCTTGATCAAGGTAAAATTCTAAGACGATTTGGCCAAGTCCGTCCGTCTGTTGTAATAACTCTAGCGTCTAAACGAATTAAAATAGGGTGCTGGAATTTTGCATAGGTTTGCCTGCAGGCAGGTCAAGTTTGAAGATGGGCTTTATCGGTCCACGTTTAGGCATAGCTCCCATATAACAGTACCCCACAATTTTCGGTATTTTGGGTACATAATTTTTTATTTATTTCATAATTTATGTTATACAATATATATTGACCTTAATCATATCTGATTTTCGCACCGCCATTGCTATTTCTGTTGTCTCTCGGCTGTTTTTCGCATCTGCCCTCTACGAAATATTGAAGCATCTGAAATAGAAAATTGTAAAATATAAATAAAGATATGGTTGTCTTAAGTAGAAGATTATTACCTTATATTTTGGAGAATATTTACCTAGTTTAAACATTTATTTGCTCCCTCAACCTGTTGGATGCCATTGGAAATCTGTAGAATAATTTTGTTAAAAAATTATGTATGTATGTATTTATTGTGTCGCAAAACCAGAACTTACCTTAAATTCAGCATATGCATTTTAGATTCTTGACATTTTTATTTAAACGCACTTCATCTTCTATATCGTGGATATATATTGCTTATATTTTTGTATAAAACACACATTTTTATTAAACTTTTGATTTCATAATTCAAAAAATTATAAAAAGTCTGAAGAAAATGACAATTGTTTTTCTGTTTTAATTTTTTGTTTTCGATTCATTTCTTTTCCATTACCAGTAACTACAGAAATACAAAATGTTTTCAATCAACAAATGAATTCAATAGTATATTTTGTGTTCCATTTTCGGTTATAAAGTAACTAGAGTACATAATAACTAGTTATATAACTATACATAAGCAGACAATTTCTATTTATTGATCAACTGGGAACATATAGGCATTACAATAATGTCAAAATTCATAAAATCGATCGAAAAATGTATGTGAAGAAAATTTATACATGGACCTACACTGGTGGCCAAAATTAAAGTAACTACACCTATGTCGATTCTTATAGATAATTTTTAAATGGATTTTATTACAATGGCATGTGTGTGGTTTTCAATTTCTATTTACTATCAAAAAATATAAAAATGGCTAGGAAAAAATTCAGTGCACCGATATAACTGCTAATTGTCAGTGATTGTGAACATAATTTATCACAGAAAATGATTTCGAAGAAATACTCCATAAATAAATTAGCGATTTATAGAATTATATGTGACTGTTCAGCATGGAGGAAGGCTACAAAATAACATCAGTTCGTACGGAACAACAAATTGTCATAGCCGTTAAAAATACCGATTTAAGAGTTCAACGGAATTTGTGGGATAGTTATCGTTGGATATAACCTCAAGAACAGAGAGTGGACGAGCTATGGTAGTAGGCCACATGCCCGGATGCTATCAAAGAAAGTTCTGAAAAGAATCGGAAAGCCAGATTAGCATTTCGCCAAAGCTCATATTTATTATAATCCGACTTAGTGGAGATTATATTATGTTTTCGGAAAAAACACTGAATAGATCAACTTATTTTAGGCTCAAGACTTAGTTTTGCAAGGTACTTGGAAGCATTTTATGGGGATATTTTTTTCTTTTTACGGATCAATTTACGAGTTTATGATATAATGTCTGTTATACAAATGTTTTGGAAAACGCTACAGTTACTTTTGATGAAAAAAATATACCCGTTGACTGGGTGTCTCAGCGTGACAATAACTTCAAATATATATCGAAACTTGTCAATGATTGGTTGCGGCACGAAATTTGGCACAATAATCAGATCTTCACCCTATAGAAACATCTTTGTAGTATCATATATAGAAAAAACAAAAGAGATTCACAAAGAAACAACTATAAGCTCTTCCCACTGGTTCAGGATGCGAGGAGTAGTATACCCAAGGATCATATTGTGTAACTTATAGATCAAATGCCTCGTAGGTGTGCAATAAAAATAATGGTTATTATGTTTATTACTAGCTAAATTTATTTATTTAATAGAACAACTCGAAAAGATGATTTAGTTTTGATCGCGAAAAAATTGGGCCAATTTAGATTTCCATAGAAAATTTTTATTTAATTTTTTTGCGTTTATATTTTTTTATTTTTTATACCTTTTACTGTGGTACTGTGTATTATGTCTTTATGCATGTGTTTGTAAAAAGCAAAAGGAAACGAGATAGACACATAGTTCCTTTTGAAAATATGCATAGAATCACTTTCTAAGTCGATTTAGGCATGTCCGTCCGCTGTCTGTAGATGTTAAATTGTAAACAAACTAAGGACGCAATTACGATCCGATTTGGATCAAAGATTTGGATTTGATCGAAGGACGAACCCTATTGAAATTCAAGAAAATCGGTTCAGATTTATATAAAATTAAATGAAGTCTAGAATGATGTGTGTTAAGTTTCGGTCTAGATTGAGATATAGCTCGTATATATATATATATATATATTTGGTCGATTTAATGTAAATGGTAGACCAAAGTCCCTATATATCTATCGATTTCCACGAAATTTGGCATGGCGTACTGAAATAAGTCTAGAATGATGTGTGTTATGTTTCGTGAAAATCACTACAGATTTAGATATAGATTTCATATATATTTTCGTCCGATTTAAGGTAAATGACGCACCAAAGTCCCTATATATCTTTCTATTTGCACGAAAATTGGCATAGCGAAAAAAATTAAGCCTAGAATGACGTGCGTTAATTTTCGTGATAATTTGTTCAGATTTAGATATAGCTCACATATTTATATATTGGGCAGATTTAATGTGAACAAGTGAAAAAGCGTTAAGTTCGGCCGGGCCGAACTTTGGATACCCTCCACCATAGATATACTGACAGGAACTAGAAATGAAAATATGGGAAACATACCAAAAAGTGGACCTATACCGACATTTCTAAAAAGGGATTATGTAAACCATAATAAAAAATTCAGTAATTTTTAATGGATAATTATACACTGTGGCTAATTAAAATATCGATTCTAGAACCCATGTATCTTTATACCAAATGCGCTTCAAAAAATTTAGATTTCATCCAAACTTTGTCCATCTTATTATTTCTTCCAATCTTAGTTCAAATTCCAAGATGGGGAATATCGGTCCACTTTGTCTGGAACCTCCATACAGGGACTAGGTCTTAATGCGGGTTATAGTTCATTATCGAACCTTACGTTCTACTTTTTTATCTCGAAATCCTCCGCAGGTGAAATGATTACATCAGAGTCTTAGAACCAAACTTAAAACGCGGAACAAATCAGATAACCATTTTAATATAAAAAAGGGGGTTATATGGGGACTACCCCAAAATGAGGGCGAATGTTAATAATTTTGGCGGTATGAAATAAGTCCCCAAACAGAAAATGAAATAAGTCCCCAAATGTGGGGGTTTATTTCATTATGAAATAAATCCCCAAAAAGTAATATGAAATAACTCCCCATTGAAATGAAAGAACTCTCCAAAACCAAATGAAATAAAACCCCAAAAATGTGGACTTATTTCGTAATGAAATTAGTCCCTAAATCGAAAAATGAAATAAATCCCCAAATAAGTTGCAGTTTTTACCATATGGTTATTATTTTATTTTTAATAATAAAAAAACAATTTATAATAAAAAAGTACATGTATATGCATTTATACAAATATTACCATTGTATCTTCTACAATTCCACGACAATATGGGCATTTATAACCTCCACCATTTTCAGCAATTGCGTTATTTTGAAGTTTGAGGACACATTCGTCGCACATTTTAAGATGTTTACAAGGAAGAAGGACTGTGTTCGAAGCCTAAGACATGCATACAATACAACTATTATCATCTACACGTTTTTCTTCAAATATTTCATCTTCGTCTGAAGAAGAATCTTCCAAAATGGTATCCTGGAATATGTCTTCTTTTGGAAGCATATTTTCACATATACCGTTTCTTTCATAGACCATTCGAGATAGAAAAGCTTCACCAGTTATCATTCCAGATTCTAATATCTTTGTTGCCCTTTCTATTTCTCGGTCTTTCAAATCACGGCTTTTTCTTTTTTTCTTCGATAAAGATCCCCCACTTTCGCACACCATATTAAAATGACGACTTTTAAAAAATTCTTCGTCTCGAATTGTTCCAACAAACTTAAAAAAATGACCGTTTTTTTCTAAAGTTTTGCCCAGCACTCCATTATACGCCTCTACCGCAGAGGTTGTTCGAATTTTATTGTTGCAGACGCTAAGGTTCCGGCTTCCAATCTGTAAATGATATTTTGTTTTCATTCTTTATATAAACAATAGATTTTATAATATACCTACCTTCTGCATCCAAAAACTATCGAAATATTTTATAAATGTCACAAATAACCCTTCTGCGTCCATTAACAAAATTTTAGATTTTATTTGGGTAAATGCTCCATTAATTAAATCCCCTGGTAATAATGGCAAAGCTAACATTTTGTGATATAAGCTCGAAGCACTCTTGCTTGATCTTATGAAGTCCAACAAAGTCTTATTTTTCATTAAATTTTTCCTGACAGCCTGACAAAAGTGAAACCTAAAGATATATATTTATGTATATTGTCATGCATGTACTACATTGAGAAATGAAGTATTTGAAAGAAAATTGATTAATTGTGAAAATGGGTGAATTTTTCGATTGCGTCCAAAATAACAACCCATTTTCACAATTTATCAATTTTCTTTCAAATACTTAAAATTTTTATAGATTTATAAAATTGAAATATTAAGTGTTCGACTAAAAATTGTTTAATTGTGGAATATATATTTTGGAATCGAAAGAAAAATTCGCGCGAATTTTTCTTTCTATTCCAAAATATATATTCCACAATTAAACAATTTTTAGTCGAACACTTAATACTTTTATACGTTAAATATATTAAAAATGTCTACTTACCAACAACCCAATGTTTTTGCTTTCGGGTAAACCAAATTTACAGCCTGTCTCATAGCTGCCTCGTAGTCCATTATGAAAGTTGATGGATCCATGTTGAATATATTTTCTTTAATATACATAAGAACTGCAGTATATGCCTGCTTCGTTTTGCGATCCATTAGTACAAAAAATACTGGAAAAATCTAAAACAACAAAATTTAAATCTAAAATAACAAAATTAATTTGTGGCACTTACTTCGTCAAAGTATGATATGTAAATAACCAAAAGTTGTTTGAAGCATCCATGTGGGACTTTGAATGTAGCATCCATCAAATATGTCCGTTGTGCTGGTTGGATGTTTTCTTTAATTAAATCAATTGATTTTAAGGATGAAAATAAGCAAAATGAGTGATGATCATCCTGTATGCATGCTGTGAAAAAATGTCTAGGATTTTCATCGTCTTTTGTCAGACCAAATTGTGTCCATACAGCTTCGAAGTTAAAGCACTCAACAACTTGAATTGCATTTTTTGGGGAAATCACAAGTTTGTTGCTAACAATATACTGCAATCTTCTTTGTATTTTTCCAAACGAAATATTATTGGAAAATGTTTGATTTCTAGATATTAAAGAATAATTACTAAAAAAA